TAGAGGGCTGTAGAAGACTGGAAATTTTGAATTATGGGTTCCCAGGAAATCTGCAGAGAATGAGCGCTTTGTTCTGCCTGATAGGGGCCTGGAAAACTTGTCTTTAGTCAAATGCTTTAATTAGTATTTTGATGCATCTATCATGATCAGTTAAACTCATTTCTAAATTCAATGACTCATGCAAAAAACAAAAGTTCGTGGTTGATCATAATGATACATGTCTGCAATACCAGCACTTGGGATGTGGAGGTAAGAGGATTGGAGGCTCAGGGTGCCAATGGCTGCAAACTAAGCTCAAAGTCAGCCTGTGATACAGGAGACTCTGTATCAAAAAATATGAGTGAATAAATCAAATTTAGCTTGAAATTAAAGTGAAATACCTGTTTTGAAGAGATTTTGAATGGCAAAGCTCTATTAAGTAGTTTCTTATCCAGGCCTATAGACGAGTAAACTGGATTAAAGGAAGTTTACATCCCTTATGGTTTTCCGTGAAATAAGCCTTTTTTGAGAATATGAACATTGGAATTAAAGATAACTGGGTTCAGAATACTGGCTATTCTACTCACCAGCTCTATGTGACCCTGAATATGCTTCCCTAACCTCTCTCACACCTGTTTTTATTAGTTTTCATTTTAAAAGTAACTTTAAAGGAAATCCATTAATAACTATTACATGTTGATAAAGTATGACCCTTAGGCTAGAGCACAATAACACTTGCTGATTTGATACATATGATATATCAGTATGAATAATTTGCATTGCTGTACAAGGCTTCCAAACTAGTGTTTCTGAGCACAGATCAAGCCCTGACCCACCACACACTATAGACCATGAGCAACAGCTTGGAAAATACTGATGATGCCACATGGTCTAAATCAGCACCTAAAGGCACATCTACAGCTCTCAATATTGCACTGAAAATGAACATTGTCTAAATACCGAAGTTCACACAAGGAAGAATGAAGTTGTTGAAGAAGGTGAGTCTCACAGATCTGAGAATGATGGCACACTGAAGAGTAGTTTGGAGGAAGCAGAAATGATGAAGATGACTTGTAATCTCGACACTTAGGAGGCCAAGGCAATAGCATCTTGAATTCCAGGCTAGCTATGGGATACAAAGTAAAATCTTGTCTCAGTGAGAGAAAAATGAAGTTGTAGAATACTGTCAGGAAAATCTAGTGTCCTGTTATTCTCTAATATTAGCAGGTGAAATTTTAATGTATCAAAATATGTGGTAAAATATAACCTCTAGTACCAACTAGCATCCAAGACATTGGAGAACTAGAGTCAGTATGAAAAAACAATAAATGAATGTTTTAATGGAACAAGAGAGATATAAGACAAGGGTGAGAAAGGGTGAGAAATTTTAATTAGATAATTACTAGAAACCACTTGCAGATAAGAGAAAGAAACGGGAAAGAGCCAGGTCTGGAATGGGGAGGAAATGAGTTCTGTTGCAGTCTCTGAGGAATGAGATATCTCTCAAAAACAGGCTTGTATTAACACTGGAAGCAAGGAGCTCTTATTTGTTCTCCAAACTGTGTCTTGAGTGTCTCTAAAACACAGATTTCACCACATTACTCTGTTCCGCATTTCAGTGTTGCCTTCATGTTTAATCCTTCCATGATTCTGTTAACTTTTGAAATATAGAATTAGGAGATGCTATCATTAAAGAGTAGATATGTGAGTCAGATGGATGTGTGTTGTTTAAAGCCGTGGTCATAACTAGGTCATCTCAAGGAGAGGATATGGACTGCAAGCAGGGATAGGGAAAGCCAAACTTTCTACAACACCAAAATTAACAAGGCAGAGAACAGTATTTTCTGAAAAACAATGGACAGGGATAATCTATCAGAGGAACTATCATTGAAGCAGTTGAAAGGGAAAGTAACAAGGAAGAGAGAATCAAATTTTGAAATAATGGAGAGAAAGCATATCTGGAATTTATAGAGACTATTTAAAAATTCACTAGTCACTGAGTTGAAGGATTTTCTGGGAGTTCTCAGCCGGGGGAAATATCCTGCTTGTTACCAAGGGTGAAGGAAAAATAAACAAAAGCAGATTGTTCTTCAGACTCTTTTTTTTTTTTGCTCGTTATAAACTATGCAACAGAAAACTGAAGAAAGAATGGTATTTATGACTGATCCCTCTACTATCTAAGCACTGTGGTTGATAATGACAGATAGTAATGAGTCCTAGTTGAGATGAGTATTTTGGAAACTCATCTCAAAAAAAAGAGCAGTAAAGTGTGCAAAGCTTTCATTATTGAGTTGGGGTGGAACTTGTGAAAAGGAACCAATGATGTCCAGCAAAATGCTAAAGAATAAAAGGAATCTTGTTGGAGATAAATTAAAAGAGATAGAGAATGGCCTGTTTGCTTATTCACAAAATATTTGGAAATGCCTGGCTCTTGATGCTTTGCAATGCAAAATCTAAAACATCCTTTCCAAGAAACCCGAGATTCTTATGCTCTCATCTACTTATTTCTCCTTCAGCACCCAGACTCATGCTAAGACACTTTTGTATGATCTTTCTTATTGTTACCTATTTCTCTTCTCACTTCTCATGTTATTTATGTCAAGAGCACACTTCCCGTTTTCACTCTTGTAAACTCACATCTACTCATCAAAAGATTAGTTACAATTCATCCACTTTCTTGATACTTTGTAGAATTAATTCCTAAACACCTAACGCAGACCCATTCACATATACAGAACCCAGACACTGGGAGGCTGCTGCCCTGTGTTTTCTCAGTTTTATCTCTTAGACATCTCCTACCTTAATCCACTCTATGATTAGTAGTACATCTCTTTGTCTATGACCCTATGGTTCTCACCACACCTATACAGTATCTGATAGGCCATTCATGTTCAAAATCAGTCATTTTTATTATTGGTAAGAGTCACTGGAGTCTTATTAAAGAGGATGTTTTGAGACTTTAAGTGTGCAGTATATTGTCTATGATGACTTCTTTGGCTTCCTCAGTCACAAAATCATCTCAGACTCTCTTTACATCTTAGTAGCTAACAGGACTCTGTGAGTACCCTATATCTGTCTACTGTTGAGCTGACCTAAAGGTTTATGATAGCTTATAAAGAATTCCTGGTTGTAAAACAGAATGTGCAATCCTCTCTGGGTCTAGTATGGTTGAAGAGAAATGATAAGAAATTCTGGTTTGAGAGTGACGAATGCCCCAGCTGAAAGCAGGCAATTTGAGTTCTCTGCTGCCAGAGCAAATATGGATCAAGTCAAACTGTACTGTACAGTTTGTTTTGTTTTATCATCTTTCATCAACAAAGAGAAGGAAGAAATTATCAAGAAGAATGAAAACTGGTCATGAATAAAGTAAATTATTGATAATTAAGAAATCAGGAAATTCTTCAAGTAGTAATTTAAAGTCATCCTTTGTAAAATTTACTGGAACTCAATGGCAGAAATAACAAATAAGTTACTACATGTCAAATAAAAGGCATGGTTGCCAGAACTGACAGATACACATGACGACCCTCTGCCTTCCAGAGCCATTATTATTGTTATATTGGAGTTACTAAAAAGCCTCAAGGATGTTTCTCCCTCACTTGGTTACAAACTCTTAAAGGGAAGATTTTGTGTTATTCTTTAGCTTTTAATGCTGAACTCTGCAAAAAGCTTTTACTTGAAAAATATTCCTATGGCTTTGTGAAAATCTCAGCATTCTTCATCTCAATGTAGACAGTACACAGAAAATTTTCACTGCTTTTTCTATAAGCCTTTCTCCTGGTCTCCAAACCTGCTGCCTGACCACATTCTAATAATCCTCTTCGCCTTTCTTAGCTCTCTTTGATATTTAAAATTTTTGTTCGGATTTCTGAATGATTTTGAGTGACAAACTATGATTGTGTATATTAATGAAACACAATGTGGTGTTTCCCTAAATGTATACATTCAGAAATGATCAAATCAAGTTAATTTGTATATCTACCACCTCAATTTGTTATCATTTGGGGGTGGTTGTAACAGTTAAAGTATCTTCTTGAAGCCTTTGGAAGTATATAGTACATCAATGTCAACACTTAATTCTTTTCATTATAATGATCATACATTTCTGACATTAATTTCATCACTCCCCTGAGGACACTCATGGCTAAAAATGTCAGAGTCTCAAGATATACTAAATTCAAATTACTTTTGCCTTTCCCCCGCCCCCCCTCCGCCAATAATCCAGTAATTTCAATTATGTTCCCAATTTATTTTTAGTAAGGTTCCCTAGGATGACCCCAAAAGTAGAACTTATTTGAGTGCATGTGTGTGTTCTGGAAGCACTTAGGTGTCCCTCTGTGCCCTTTCGTATCCTATGCTTGCGGTCCGTTACTCAGTGGCTTTCTTTCTCATCAAAGAAACTGCCCCAAACTGGCTGCTTCCCATTGAGCCATCTCCAACCATAGCCTTAATGCTTTTCCCCAAACCCCCATTTACAATTCATGCATACCTATCTGCCTGGTCTAAATTTTCTACTCAGAGGAAGAAGAAAATATGATATTTTCAATAAAGATTCATCTTCCTCTGCAAAACAAGGCAGAATCATTTCATTATATCTCCCAGGAAGTATGTTTCCACAAAATGCAGAGAATATATTGTGGGGAACTGGTCATTCAGAAATTTAGAACACAAAGAGTTGGCTATGGTAATGTGTTATACCAAGTGGGTACTAGTGTCCTGTGTCATCTGCAGCTGAAAGAGTGAAAGATAGATCACACAGTACAAATGCGTCTAGCAGCAAAGAACCTCAAAGAAGAAAAGTTGTTGGCTGAGAAAATTGTTTCAAAAAATTTAAAAGAAAAAACTGTTGCTGCAGTAGTTGAAATCATAAAATTTTATTAACTTAAAGGTGTCATTCCTATTTTCAGATAATTTATCGATGCTCACCTTTGGTCAAGTAAATGTTGGATAAAATATATAAATAGAAAACACAAAGAAATATAGTCTTTTGTTTCAGACCTGTTCTGTACTTTTAATCTAGCATGTCAACTTTCCAGAACACCACAACTTCTTCCATCATTTTCCTGCTCACTGGTGTGCCCGGGCTGGAAGCCTTCCACTCCTGGATCTCCATCCCCTTCTGCTTTCTCTATGCAACTGCCCTCTCAGGGAACAGCCTGATTCTCTTCGCCATTATCACTCAGCCCAGCCTCCACGAGCCCATGTATTATTTCCTCTCCATGCTGTCCACCACTGACCTCGGGCTGTCCATATCCACTCTGGCCACCATGTTGGGGATATTCTGGTTCAATGCCAGAGAGATCAGCTTCAATGCCTGTTTGTCCCAGATGTTCTTCATTAAACTCTTCACTGTCATGGAATCCTCAGTGCTGTTGGCCATGGCTTTTGATCGTTATGTGGCCATCTCTAATCCCCTTAGGTACGCCAGTATTTTAACTGATTCCAGAATAGCTCAAATTGGAGTAGCAATTGTCATCAGAGGGACTGTAATGCTGACACCAATGGTTGCACTTCTTAAGAGACTAACCTTCTGCAGCAGCCATGTGCTCCACCACTCCTACTGCTTCCACCCCGATGTCATGAAGCTCTCATGCACAGACACCAGGATCAACAATGTAGTTGGACTCACTGCCATGATTTCTACTGTTGGTGTGGACTCAGTCCTCATCCTCCTTTCTTATGTCCTGATTATTAGGACCGTCCTCAGCATTGCTTCCCCAGAAGAGAGAAAGAAAGCCTTCAGCACATGTATCTCCCATATAGGAGCTGTAGCTATATTCTATATTCCATTGATCAGTTTGTCCTTTGTTCACAGATTTGGGAAACGAGCTCCACCCTATGTCCATACCATGATTGCTAACACCTACCTGCTGATCCCTCCTGTCATGAACCCCATCATCTACAGTGTGAAGACCAAGCAGATACGTAAAGCTGTGATAAAAGTTCTCCATTCTAAAAAAATATAGACTCACAAAAGCATAGAGCTACATGGCTTGTTTCAGGCCATATAGTTAGTTAATGTTAGAATACATCAAATGTCAGCTACTTTAACCCCTTATTTCACAGATGAGGAGACACTCATATATAATTAGGAAGCAATAACAGTAGATGACTTTATGTCTAGAATTTTTCCTTACTATTTTTTTTGTTCTAAGCTAGTATTTCTATCCTTGGCAACAGCCCTTTTATTCTTACCTCATTGTAGCAGTTAAAAATTTCATATTAAATCATCCCTTTGTAGAAAAATAGGTAGCATTTTCTAACTATCTGCCATCCACTGTTCAAAGGAACTTCGCTGGTGAATACTAAGAGCTTCTATGTAAATAGATATATGTATTTAGAAGGTAGTTTGATACTATATCCATTTAGCAAACTAATAACAGTAAGTTGATCCTATAACCTATGATCTCTCCACCTATGAGTTCTTGGCCAGATTTACATCAGATATAAATAAATTCTGTGGTGCCTTCTTTAAACCAGATCACAAAGCAGTTAGTCACCTCAAAACATTTTATCACAATTTCACCCATGAGTAAATCTTGCCAGCTCTATCATTATTGGAACTTATGATGTTCATAGCTGGGTAAGACAATCAACAACTTTTGTTCCCCAGCAGCCTAGATAGCACCTTCTGCTGCTATGGGGGGCAGTCAGCATGGGGGAGGCTTCCAGGTCAGTACTTGCTTTATTTCTCCAGGTCCTTTTACTAAAGCATATGGTATCTTCAGAAATAGTGTCTTACCATCAAGTTCTGGTGGGCAAGTAAGAGCAATGAAAGTAGCCTGCACTATTTTGAGTTTTCTGAGAGGTTCCTTACCAACAACCAGAGGGGAAGAATCCTACACCTAGAACTGGGATTTTTACAACCTATGGCTTCTGGAAGGAACATCATCCTTTCTCTTAATTATTACTAACCTTGACTTACATGTGTTCAAATATGCCAGAACTTTGTTCTCAGGCCTCTTCTTCCTATTATGCTTCTTTTTCTGGTCATTTCATATCATATTATGATATTAAATGCCCTATGCTGAACAACCACAAGTAGTCCACCCTCATCTAACATGTATTAATGTTTACATCCAGATGTCTCACAATCATCTTAGATGTCTTAATAGTCCCATCAATAAAAATGTATGCTCTCTATAGGCTTCCATAACAAGAAACTCTGTTTTCCAAATATCTAAGATGAAATACTTGCAGTGAATTCTCATACCTTGAGGTTAATCCTGTTACACACCTGTTTATCAACAAACCCAGAATCCAGCCACTTACATTGCTTCCACTACTATCATCAGGATGCCAGCCATCACCTTGAACCTGAAGTCATCTATTAATAGCTTTGTGGAGAATCTTCCCTCATGCATTTTACAGTTAAGAATGCTTATTCTAGTACACATGGCAGGTCTTATCACTCCCTCCTTAGCACACTCTCATGGGCTCTTCTCTGACTAATGGGGGGAAATTCAGTGATTGTAGTAGTGTGCAAGGGCTTCTACATGTTCTGAGTATCCACCACTATTCCAGTTCCAGTTCCTACTGTACTTTGATTCACCCTAGTAAATTTACATTAGCCTCTAGATATTTTCTTATATCATCAAGAACACTCTAGCATTATACTTCATACTCACCATTTTTTTTTGCCTGTGATGTTTTTCTCTCAGAGATCAACTGCTGACTTACATCCTCTCTTCATGCAGGATCCTACCCAGTGTACCTTACTGTAGGACCCCTAAAAATTATAGGGATAATAATCATAACAACAATACTTCTCCATCAGTTCCTGACAGTATTTATCCCCATCCTTACCTGCCTTTTCTTTTAATCCCTAGCACTTTCAACACCCAATCTATTATATACTGGGGAGGGGAGGTGTTTTGTTTTGTTTTGTTTTGTTTTGTTTGTTTCCCCATCATGAGAAAAGCTTTTTGAGGATAAGGAATTTGTTTCTCACTAAGTATACTGTCTCCATTTACGTCTTAAGAATCCTTTGTCTTCTATACAGTACTCCAAGACTGATGAGAAACTTCCATGTCTTCTATTCTGATTATCCTCTGTTACTTCAAGCCTTTGCACAAGCTGTTACCTCGACCTATAGTAGTATTCACTATCATCTGTACTGGTATTTGCTCCACACATGACCTTGCGCCATAGGGCCCAAAGGAGGCAGTGCTTCTTGCTGTTGACTGTGACCTCTTAAAAGGAAAGGGAGAAGGGTCACAAGCCCCTGCTGCCTACTGCCTGCTTCCTGGTCTGATCAAACCACCAGGTGGATTTGCTCCCAGTCAGAAAAGATGACTTCAGCTGTTTACTCAGTTTGTATTCATGAGTGTATTTCCTCAATTTATATCTTAATAAATCCCTATTACCCATTAAATAGACTCAAGTGGATTGTTCTTAATAAGTGACACCCAACGTGGGGCATGAACCCATGACCCTGAGATTAAGAGTCTTATGCTCTACTGACTGAGATTAGACAGTAAAGGCAAAGTGCTGTAGGATGTCATTCTGTACACTGTGAATATGTGTTGCTCTGACTGGTTGATAAATAAAGCTGCATTGGCCTATGGCAGGTCAGGATAAGGTTAGGCAGTACATTTCAACTAAAGACAAGACAAAGAAGGGGAGGAGAGGTGGCTCAGTGGTTAAGAGCATTAACTGATGTTCCACAGGACCCAGGTTCAATTCCCAGGCTGTCTGGTGTCTGATTTAAAAAAAAAAAAAAAAAAAAAGGACGCATGTGACCCCCTCCCTTTCCTTTTAAGAGGTCACAGTCAACAGCAAGAAGTACCACCTCTTTGGGCCCTATAGCCCAAGGTCATGGGCAGAGCAAATACCACTACAGTCATCACCCTCCCACTTAGAAGAGAGGTGACTTATTTGAAGAACCCCTGACCCTCATAATCTGCCTTGTACTCCACCCAAATACACCACCATCACCATATGCTTATTTTTCATGGTGATCCTCTTTAGATAGATTAGAAATGTTCTTTCCACAGCAGGGTTTGAGTTCTCTTCTCAAGACCAGGAACTGCATCTTATTCACTGCTGTTCTGTTTTTACACTTCTATTAATAGTATCTGGCTGCTTGTGTCTTTAGATTTCTTTTCTTGTTGATGGTTTTGGTTTGGTTTTAAAATAGTTTCACAAAATTCCCCATGGTGACACTGCACTACCTCAACCTCATAAGTAGCTGGAATTATAGGTGTGTTCCAGCATACCTAGTTCCATACTCTCTTTTAACCTCAGTTGAACTGATGAATAAATAAATAAGATCTTGAAAAATGTATAAGAATTTGGATGCCACACAAGATCATAAGTATTCTCATAGTTCCCCAGATATTTATTCATGAAGCTTCTCATTTTGAAGGATGCTACAAAGGATGTCCTCCTTTGATCATTTGGCTTAACACCACCTTACTCTAATTTCCTGCAGTTCTCTCTCTCTCTCTCTCTCTCTCTCTCTCTCTCTCTCTCTCTCTCTTTCCAACATAAAACTTCCCTTGTATATTCCTTAATAAGCATGAGTTAAAAGCGAAAAAAGAAAATTAGAGAGCCATTTATATGGATAATTTATATTTGGAATAAACTATCCATTTCTGTTTGTTTCCATCTCTTTTTGTTCTCTGATCATGGATTATGCTCCTCAAACAGTCTGAACCTATAATGAAACAAAGATAAAAGTCCAAAATAACTGCAGAAAAATCCAAGAAGGGAAGATGGAGAGATTTTAAAAATGTGGGTTTAAATGTCAGATTTTTGCCTACTTCACTGCATAAGGTGTGATACTTGGAGAGCAATGAGAGACAGGGTAGGAATTAATTGAGCTGGGAGCAAAAGATGACAGTATTCAGTCTTAAAATTGAAGAAGCTGGCATTGGTGAAACATGCCTTTAATCCCAGCGCTCAGGAGGCAGAGGCAGGTGGACCTTTGAGTTCAAGGCCAGCCTGATCTACAGAGCTAGTTCCAAAACATCCAGGGCTACAAAGAAAAACCCCATCTTGAAAAAAAAAAACAGAATTGGAGAAGAGCACACCAATTGGTAAGCCAATGCTGAGTAATCAATCCTGAAATTATACATAGTAAGTAACAGAGTACAGATTGAGCTGGTTGGATTTATGCATTTATGAATATAGATATACATATAAATATACAACAGTTAATGAAAGAGGGCCATGAATTTGAAAGAGAGCAAGGAGTAGTATATGGGAGAGTTTGAACAGAGAAAGAAGAGAGAAATGATGTAATTATATTATAATCTCAAAAAATAAATAAATATTTTTTCTTTATTATTTTATTAATTGTGACCAAATGGGACTCTGTCTCCCCCATTGTTTGGCAATTTTATCTACATCACCTTCATATATGCATCTATTTTAGGAAGTTTCTACTATATTAGGTTTCCATACTACTCCTCAAATGCCACTTAATTTTAGGTATTTCTCCCTTTATTCCTTCCCACAACCCCTCTTCCCTTTCCCCTCTCCATTTGATCCTCCATTTCAGCACCCCCCCAACTCCATCCCTATCTATTTATTTCATTTCAATCTCCTAATTAGAAATAATTTTTAGGGGGATAAGAAGGAATCTCAATCTTAAAAGCCAGACACTCAGATTTTCATAATACTTCTGCTTACATCTACACACTAACTTGTGAACAATCCTATTGCCCAACCACCCTGGAAACTTGTAAACTTCCATAACTATAAATGGGCAACTTGACACTGAGAATGGGTAATTTGCAGAGCAAATGTTATGCTCTAACCATGTTGGTTCTCCACTATGAGTTAGAGACTTTCCTAGAAACCATAGTAATTACAGTGACATGGGTATTATATTTAGAAGGAAAATTAGACAAGATGAGTTGAAGAATTAACTATGGGAGATAAGGAAAAAGTATTCATCTAAAGTTTAAATTCAAAACACATCTAATCCTGAAATGCATCCTTCAAACAATTTCTACAAATGTAATTTAATACACATACATAGTTATGTCCTTGATATGAACTATGCATTCTTCTCCTAACTCCAACAGAATGAAGCCTGGAGTCCACAGCTTATCATTAACTCATATTTCTCAATTTCTCTTTTCTTTTTATATCACTCCAGAAACACCACTCTACTTAAAGAATTCTGTTTCCTTCTATGATTTATCTTTGCTTAAAAAAAAAAACTCTTCTTGAGGGCTGGAGAGATGGCTCAACAGGCAATAATACTGGATGTTCTTCAAAGGACTAAGGTTTAATTCCCAGAACCCACACTGCAGCTTGCAACCATCTGTAACTTTAGTTCCAGGAAGACTTGATGTCCTCTTCTGGGGTCTGCAGACACATGGCACAAAGACATATAAGCAGACAAATACCCATACACATTAAACTGAATTTTAAAAAACTCTTTCTTGGACCCACCCTTGATTAATGAATGTCCCTATTCAAGTCCTCATTAAAAATCACTGGTATTTGCTATTATTCAATATTATGTCAAGAGTGTATAGATGTTATTTTAGCATCTTAGGGTAGTGACTTGACCATATTCATCTCTGTATCGCCTAAGTTCAGTAAAAAAAAAAAAAAGTATTGAGAGAACATGCTTTTACACAGCAAGTGAATGAGCACATTCCTGACTATAGGTGTGTAATACGTCTTGCTACTTAATTAACAAGACAATAATTATGTTTCTGTTTTTAGAGTAACAATAACAAGGTAAGAGTGATCTGTGAGGCAAACCTAGAAAGTATAGGAAATAAGGCAAGATAAATGTCAATCAAAGATAGACATACCTGTATGGGTATGAAGGAGGGTACATGGCACTGGAGAAGAAATATCAGAGGCCTTAGAGAAACCACTTCTTGAAGAATATGATGATGCTTTAGCTAGATTTTTAAAGGCTTGAAGTATGAAGTCACTAAAAAGAAACAATGAAAGAAAGACCAGAATGGGCAATGATGGATCAATAAAAGCAAGTCCATGCAGTGGAGACAATTAGAGAAGACTAGTCTGTAGGATTATATGTAGCTCTGTATAAGGATCTTCAGCTCACTGAGATCTAAGGGAAGAACGTAAACTGATTGTCAAGTGCTACAAGTTCCTATGTAGGCAGTTCACAGAGTCTTCCTTCATTCTGCCCTCTCTCCCCCTCTTCTCTGCACTGGAATACACTGTCTGTCTTGTTCTTAGGTGCTGGACATACTTGTTCCTTAGGAAATTTATTTGCCATCTCTGATGCTTCTTCCCAAAACACTCTTCCCCAGATAATTCCATGGGTGTATCCCTCACTTATCTCTCCAATATCTCCTCCAGGCAGCTTCACCTGAGGCTTCAAGTCCCTCCTCCTGATATTAACATGTTCTTTATCCTCTTCATTTTTTCTCCTTATGGCTACCTAGCATTCTTTTTAATTTGTACGTTAGTTTAATTTCATTTCAGCCACTCTAATCAAAAAGTATACTTCATAACCCTGGGAATTGTCTCTATTTTGCTTATGAAATTACAGGCTCTTGACAAACACTTTTTGAATGTGAATGAATAAATAATACATGAGATTCTGCATCTAACTTTATCAGTATATGATAATATAGACCAAAGATTCATCTTTGCCCATGGCACAGGTATAAAAATAAGTGACTTCATTATATCAGGGGCTATGTTTAAACTGCAAGAGAAGTAGGAGAGAGCTATGGAGACATGAATGAACCTATTTTGAGTTATGGAACTACACTTTAGTGTACCTACTTAGGGTTTCAGGTCAATGTGAACACCAACAGTTCAAGGATCGTGACTATTCCTACGTTTTGCCTGCTGTGTCTAGCAGATCAGATAATGAGGAAACACTAACCTTGTGGCTGACTGTGGAAATTAGATCAGCTCAGAGGAGTGGAAACACGTGTTTGTTGTCAAGAAACTCACATGTGTCATTGCGGGAATGGTGGCAGTGACCTTGGCCCTTTGAGATTGTTTCCCTAGACAGGAAAAGCAGGAAGCCTGTGAGAGCAGCACACGAGTGGACATGAGCGTTTTGTTCCTCTGTCTGCCAGATCCCTAGAGCATCAGCTGTTATTCCCACACCCTGTTCCCTGAGCCTACTGAATAGCGTTATAAAGAGACCTGGTCCTGAAAGCGAAAGCCAGATCCAGCTGCCCTCCTTGAGCTGCATCATTCTCAGGTGAGTGAGCTCTTACCAGGCGTCTGGCAGCCCAAGGATCCTGCCACCTTGAGGGACCTTGAAGACCCCACACACTTCATTATAAGACAAGCCCCAGTGCCTTAGCTGATGATCTCCGGGAAAGCAGGTGATATATAACAGAATAATGTTCAACTAAAAGAATGAAATAAGACCATTTACGGGAAAATGGATAGAACTGGAGATCGTTCTGTCAAGGAAAGTAAACTAGACTCAAAATAATAAATATTACTTTTGCTGTCATATGTAGAATCGTGTGTGTGTGTGTGTGTGTGTGTGTGTGTGTGTGTGTGTGTGTGTGTGTCTAGAAAAATAGAAAGAGGACTATCAGAGAAGAGGAAGGAGATTTTAAAATAAGAAAGAGGGAAGGGGGTTATGTCATCCATATGACATAAAGCAGAAGGAGGAAATATTTGAGGGTGTAAAGGGGACCAGCAAGAGGGTGGTGAGGAGCTGAATAAGAACAACGTACAATAGTATAGTTCCATGAAAATGTCATGGTGAACCCTTTTACTTTGAAAGCTAACGTTAAAAACTGATGTTTAAGCAGCCTAAGAAAACTTCAATAGTGATTATATAAGTCTGCATCTCATCTTAGAGAAAAGCTGTATTCAATACAGTCTTGTGTTCTAATCCATGAACACTACATCATTCCATTTGTTAGATATTATGTTTAATTTCTCTCAGTAATAGTTTGTAGATCACAATGTATAAATTTTCTACCAGTTTTGATTAAATTCATAATCATTGATGCTATTGTGAATAAAAGGTTTTTGGAAGAGCATTTTCTGATACTTCATTATTATTGTATGGAATATTGAGCTTTTTAGACTGCTACCAATGCTAAAATCTTTCTATTTTACTGTTTGTATTAGTGTTTTTGTAGACTTTTTACAATCATGTAGCCTAGAAAAAAATAGTTTTACCTCCTTTAAAATAACACAAAATCGAACCGAAACTGGTTCTGTGCTTTAAGCAACAGCAAGGCTGGACAGGTGCTATGCAGAGAGGTGGATTAGGAAGGCACCTGACTGTGGGTGAGAGGGGCCTTTAAATATGTCAGAGCCACAGAAGCCCTTGAGAATGTGAAACGTGACTTTTTGCCCCTTGGAACACCTCCAACCTGCCTTCTTTTCATATTTGTCCCCATTTCTCTTGGGTACTGTGGTCAAGTAAGATGGTCTTTCTCCAGGGAAGGTTATTTTGCTTTGCCCTATACCACACAGAGTCATTTGTTGGGACATTTGCATTCTCTCCCAGAAGCTGTTTATAATAGATACAATGATGGATGGTTGGGTTTAAGATGGCAATAAAAACACACAGGACTTCCCTGTGTGTGCATACTGGGAGAGAGGTGTGTGTGCACACTGGGAGGGAGATGTGACAATGGGGAGTGGGTGTTTTGACAGAGATCTAGACAAATCAGGACAAGGACATCATCAGAGGTCACAAACTGAGACCTTAATAAACCAGAGAGCCCAGCTTGGGGTGCAGCTCCTCAGGGAGAGTGGCATCTGGACTACAGGAAGCCTGTGAGGGATGAGTGATGTGTGTTGAACTCAGGCTGGGCTCACAGCTCTTGTTGGGACACTCATCCCACTCTCTTGAAGCTATGTTGCATCTCACTGAAGAATGTAATTGTCTCTGACAGTATCAGGTAGCAAGGTTTGGAATTCGATATCTGTTAGCAAGGAAAAAGCTGTTCTTTTACCTGCACAAGACTTAAGGGTGGAGAAAACCAAGATCAGTGATATGGGTTTTATAACCTTTGAATCCTTACTCTGTTTGCCTTTGCTCATCCAAGATCAGGAAATTCCAGCTTTAAATTTCTTAGTTTTTTTTTTTTTTTTTTTTTTTTTTTTTTGTGTGTGTGTGTGATTTAAAGCATCGGTTCTCCAAACTCTCTCCATTAAAGAGAAGTTGAAGGGCATTACCAAGCTGTATTAAAGGCCTTGGTTAGAAGGGGCAAAGAATCCTGGGAGAGATAAACAAATTAATCAGGATATCCTGGATAGTGTCAACAAAGACACCTGCATCATTTACTTGTAAGCATCAAAGCCCCTGATTCTCACAGCCACGCCTGTAACTGCTGAAGTTATCCAGCTCTAAAAACAGGACAGGAAGGAGCTTGACAGAGAAAGAGTTTGACGTGAGTGCTCAGGTGACTGGGTGGGTTATGAGACTGAAACACAGCAACATGGGGCTCCAGAAAGCAAGAAGAAATTCCTCCCTGGACATGAATGACTTATTGTCACAGATCCCAAGGGAAATCCTCAGAATATTATGGTAAAAAAAATCAGTGATACTGCTCCCCAAATCAAGGCTTACCCCTCAAGTTCTCTTTGGGACAAAAGAAGATACCATTGGTGGTGACTCCTAGGCATAGAGTGGGCCGCTGGCTGGAACAATGGAAAAAGCTGTCAGAGGGAAGATGTCAAGTAGCTAGGGTCCACTGGAGGTGATGGATGTTGCCAGCACCTCCATCTGCAAAGAGATGGTTACAGGGAGCTGGTGCCTTTGGTTTTATGAGTCCAGATAAGTTTCTTTTTTCTTTTTTTTTTTTTGTTTTTGTTTTGTTTTGTTTGAAAAATATTTTCTATTCCCCCTACCTTGGAAGATCCTTTGTTGTCTCTTCCTTCTCTACCTAATTCTGCTCATGCTTCAAGACTGAAATGTAAAGACCATCTTTTCTAGGACGGCTCCTCTGTCTTTGTCATTCCCTGCAGTCAGTGAATTTCTTATGCTAGCCTTATCCCAATGCTGTAATGTATTTGTTATTTATCCATCTCCTACCCTAAAAAAGCCTTGTGGAGGTCAAAAGGAATGAGTCTCAGGTCTTCATCTCACAAATAGCATTGTGCTTAACAGGTCATTCAAGTAAATATTTCTGAAAATTGAATTAACAAACATAAAGAGAGAGGGGGAGAAAGAAAGAATAATAGTGAAGGAAGAAAAGTAGAAATAAAGATAGATGAAAGCGAAGGGAGGGCCACAGGGAAGAGATGGGGAGAAAGAGGGAAGGATGATATCTCTATCTGAAAAGATACGGTCATTTTATGAAATGGGGAGTGCCTAGTATCCAGGTAGAGACAAAAGGAGAGTCTGAGGAAATCTGGAGGAAGTCACACTTTAGGGATAAGTATTTTTCTAGCAAAGCTTTATTTTGAAATTTTAATAATTAGTAATGGCGAATAATAAATGAATTTGGAGCATTCACATTTCTTTCTTTGGAAAAGAGAGCCATGTAGCTCATGAAAGAGCTGGGGTGTGGTTGGAGGTAGACTGAGAAGGGAGGGTGTGCTAATACACACGAAGTTCCAGGGGACTCTCTGATTCTGCTCCATGCCCTTTCAGGCTGCCAGTGTGACCTCACCCTCTCGAGTCCTCCCCACTTGGTATCAGCGATGAGCTCCTGCAACTTCACACATGCCACCTTCGTGCTTATTGGTATCCCAGGACTGGAGGGAGCTCAATTTTGGTTTGGCTTCCCCCTGCTTTCCATGTATGCTGTGGCATTGTTTGGAAACTGCATCGTGGTATTCATCGTGAGGACAGAGCGGAGCCTGCATGCACCCATGTACCTTTTTCTCTGCATGCTAGCAGCTATTGATCTGGCTTTGTCCACATCTACCATGCCCAAGATCCTCGCCCTCTTTTGGTTTGATTCCCGGGAGATTACTTTTGATGCCTGTCTTGCCCAGATGTTCTTCATTCATGCTCTATCGGCAGTTGAATCTACCATCCTGCTGGCCATGGCCTTTGACCGTTATGTGGCCATCTGCCACCCACTGCGTCATGCTGCTGTGCTCAACAATACAGTGACAGTCCAAATCGGCATGGTGGCTCTGGTCCGGGGATCCCTATTCTTTTTCCCACTCCCACTGCTGATCAAGCGGCTGGCCTTCTGTAGCTCCAATGTGCTCTCCCATTCCTATTGTGTCCATCAGGATGTGATGAAGTTGGCCTATACAGACACATTGCCCAATGTAGTCTATGGTCTAACTGCCATTCTGCTAGTCATGGGTGTAGATGTCATGTTCATCTCCTTGTCCTATTTTCTGATTATACGAACAGTTTTGCAACTGCCTTCCAAGTCAGAACGAGCTAAGGCATTTGGGACCTGTGTGTCACACATTGGTGTGGTTCTAGCTTTCTATGTACCACTCATTGGCCTGTCAGTGGTACACCGATTTGGAAACAGCCTAGACCCCATTGTACATGTTCTCATGGGAGATGTCTACCTGTTGCTGCCTCCTGTGATCAATCCCATCATCTATGGTGCTAAGACCAAGCAGATCAGAACACGGGTGCTGGCTATGCTCAAGATCAACTGTGACAAGGACATTGAAGATGAAGGAAACACGTGACCCTTACCATTCCATCACCCTTGTCCTAGATAGCTTAATATAGTAATTTAATCATACCTGCTTAATTCCAGTCACCCACAGCACATTAGTGCTTTTCCCTGAATGGGATGGTGAACTAAAGTATGATTTATCTTCATCATGGATATAATGTGAAATAATCTATATCAATGAATATTGTGTGGTTGAAAAACTTTCCTATAAAATGAGGCACGTTGATAATATTAAATAAAGCGACTAGGATTTGTGATTTAAACTAACTGATCATGTTTGTGACTTGGATGAAATATGTTCAAATATGACTGTGTCTTATTCCTACTCTCTTTGTCGTGAAGCTATTGTTCAGTTGTTATGTGTAACTTCTAAAATGCAGAACATGAAGCTGACAGTATAGTAACCAAGGCTTGCCTCATCCACTTCAAGTTTATTATTCACTACCTAGAAACATATCCAAGCCCTAAACAGTAATGCTTATGAATGTATCATGTATGCTTAACATGTTCCAGGCCCCATGATAAGTGTTTTTCAGCCTTTCTGTGATCTCATCCTTTTTCCAGAGTAGGTACCATTTTTGCCCATCACAATATGTGATAGAGGCTTTAATGAGCAAAGAAAGTTTCTTGTATGTGCTGTGCCAAGATTTTAAATTAAATTTGATAGTTGAATACATTTGCTTTACTACTATGTTATATTGCTTCCTGTTTAACATCTGCCATCTATTTCCTCTGCTTGTTACAAATCCTGTTTTCTCTCTGTTGTGTGCTAACATGGATGTCTTTGTGTTTGAACTAAGTGATTAGCCTTGTCCTAGTTGAGGACAAGCAGAGTAGCCTGCTTCTTCTCAGATGAAAGGAGGAGCTTTTAATCTTTTAGTCTCTTACAGATCCATGATTGATTTTGTCTTCTCTGTATCGTGTCCTCTATCTGTCAACTCTTTTGAATGTGTAACATATGATGGTGTCTGAGTCTTGACTTAGGTGTCAAACAACATAATAATTTATCTTAAAGTGTTCAGTGTTATTCCTACTGTTTCTATGTTTGTAGAATCCTATAGTGTAATGTTGAGAGATATGAGACCTCCCCCAGTCTTCTTTACCTTCAGTGCAAAGGACCTTCCAGGTATGGCTTGCACAACTGAAAAGATGTTGAATGAACTTATCTCATGTAGAATGTTCCCTTTGTATTGAGTGGGATGATGAAAAGGTTCTAGAAAAGGTAATGATACCTACGGAATAATGTTAATATATTCAGTGTACACTTAATGCTTAAAATGGTGAAATTTATGTAATATGTATCTGCCACAATAAACAATCATTTAAATTGCTGTAAAGTATTTTGTTGTCAATTATATACCATTATTGTAATTTTTAAAAAGTTTGGCTATGTTAGGTTAAAGAAAATATATTATTACAGTTTTTTAAAAAAAAATAACTCTAAAGGGATGATATTGGGTCTGAAGTACCAAAAGACCAAAACTCCAGTAGTTTGCTGTAGTGATAACAGGCCCATGTTACAGCCTTTCAGAGCTCTCAGGAAGGCTGGTAGCTGAGCTTGTAACCGGTCAGATAACCTAAAGAGAAGCCAACAGCAGGGACAGCAAGATTTTTCTGTCATTGCACACCCTTGGGTAAGTTATGTACTTTCTTTGCATTTTGTCTACCTATAACTTTGCAATAGGCTTCATTTCCAAGGCCAAAAGGCAGAAACAAAAAATTCCAAGAGAACTTGGTTGTTCTTTCTGTGAATATCATGTAACAGTTTGACAAGATCTTTCTGATTACAGTAATAAAATGGCAATCATGTGGATGAGGGGCAATCATTTGACATTGTTATGACTGACATTTTATGTCAGCTTGGCTGAGATATGACATCCAGATATTTGAACATACATTTTTCTGGATATCTCCATGATGGTGTGTTTTCAAGTGATATTAACATTTAAATCAATGAACTTTGAAATAAAAAAAAAAGACTAAACTCCCCTGGGCAAGAAGGAACTCTGTAGCATACACAGCCCTGAACTGTGATGTTGACTCCTTCTTGGACTTACAGTCTAGAAGCCCACCCTGTAGATTTTGGATTGACAAGCCCCCATAATCACACAAGCCAGTTCCCTAATATAAATCCCATTTTCTCTTTCCATTATGTCTTTCCATTATTCCATGTCTATGTCTATCCATCTTTCTTTATCTATTCATCTATTATCATCTCTGAAGATTTTTTCATTTCTTTATTTTATGTGTATGGATATTTTGCCTTCATATATGTCTATGCACCACATATATTCAATGCCTTCAGAGACCAGAAGAGGACATCTGATCCCCTGGAACAGGAGTTGCAGATAAGATACATGTGGGTATCAGTTATTGAACCCCAGTTCTCTGGAAGAGTAGTCAATGCTCTTTACTGCTGAGCCCTCTCTCCAGCCCCCATCTGGAGAGTCTTACCTAATGAAAACCTGAAAAGCTAGTACAAAGGCAAAGTATTCCTGTGGGCAGTTAAACTGAAGGGAAAGCCAAAAACTGAAAGCAAAACCGTAAACATGTTAGCATGCGAAATATAAAAGGAAATTAACTGTAGCAGCCTAATTTTTAATAGGCATTCAATCTATCTAAGCTCAAAGTTTTGTAAAAATTAGTTCCTTCCATGCATGTGTTACCAGACTGATCTCTAGCTGCATGGACTCACATATTCTAAGGATGTGACTCCTGAACAAGCTCTGCCTTTAAAAGCACCATATGAATAACAGATAGGAACCCACACACTATAAATGCTATCACCTCTCTCCTTTTAAAACATTGATGTGTTCTCCTTAGCTACCACAAGTGAGTGACTCCAGCTTTGTGTGATGGGTATGCTCTGGTAGTCTTTAGCTGGGGTCTTCAGCAAAATCTACAAGCATATGAGAATCACATAAACATGAGGCAGTGTCTTACATAAGAAATACCTGGTATCTTGAGCTGGGTATGCAAAGAACAATCTCAAACATAGACTCAAGTGAAGTAGAGTCAGATGTGGTCCTAGAAAACAAGAAGAGAGAGCGAAGAGTGACAGTGGAGGCAGAATATTCCATATAGTTATTACCAAGGTTACTGCTATGGGTAACGGGCGTTTGACTCTCTTTTAGAATATGCCTTGGGGAAACGCCTGTTTTATTGAAGGCTGACCCTGGTATTTTCAGTGTGTACTTTGAGGGAATCCTTAAAGTAGAAAAGCACCAAAAGATGCCTAGTTGAGATTAGAAATTGAATGAATGAAAGTACAGGTGAAGTAAGAGGTGGACCAAGGTGTGATGTGGGACACATAGGACTGAGTCAAGGAAAGAAGGTAAAGGTTTGAGAAGCCTGTGAGTTGGGTTTTTTTATTTTATATTATATTTAAAAGTAGCACTTACTGGGGACTTACTACGATCCTCTACTATAATAAATCCAAGAGTAATTAAGAGGACTATTTTTCCAAGTAGAAAATAAAGGGTTAGTGATTCAAACTTCCTCAAGTCACACTGTAATAAAAGGTGGAGTCCAGGCTTGAAGCAAGATCCCTCTGAAGTCCCTGCCTCCCCTTCTACACTTCCTGGCCCTGCACTGGAGGACCGTAGCCTGACCAGGCAGGCATAGACTGACCTATGTGTGTGATAAAGGGTCCTGAGAGATGACTTCTTCCAGAAGTGTTTTAGTTAAGCCATTTCCCTTTCAGACCCCTGCTTTTCCATGGGAAACATGACAGGATAACACCTGCCTTTCAGACCTCAATGAGGATTTGGACACAAGTGCAAGCTCATTGGTTTTTAAAGATTCTGTGTCTCTTCTGGAAGGAAGGGGTTAAGAAGGTGATGCCAGTCTAACCTGAGGTTACTGGGTCAACCCACTCTCTGCAGGGCTCCTTTGTTTCATCTATTTTCCAGGGATGGTGATATAAGATGCCTTCTTTTACCTAATTCATTTATGTATGATTAAAACATAAAGAGGAACAATAATGTGCACAACTTTGTCAGTTCACACTCTAGACATTGTCATCACAATCAATGCAACAAATGTATCCATTACCTCCAAGACTTTTCTCCCAGCTCTCCCTGTTGCTGTTGTTTTCCTGTTGTGGTAAGAGCATTTGACATAAGAGCTACCACTGGGACACTTGTAAATATGCATTACAGTATTGTCAATCACAGACTTTGGGGTGTTTTGAAGAATTATACTCAGGTGGACAAGGTGGCACCCACTGCAATCCCAGTACTTTGAAGATGGAGGATGAAGCACCCAGAGACCAATGTCATCCTCCATTACACACTGAGTATGAATCTACAAATTATATGGGACACGGTATGAAAAAGAGAGAGAGAAGGAGAGAGAGATAGAGAGACAGAGACAGAGAGAAGAAAAAAAGAACTTCCTACTCTTCTTTCTCTTATTTTGTTCCCTCAGAGGATGAACAAGAAGAATGTGGTGAAAGGCAGAAAGATAGCCTTACTGAACCCCAAAGGTACTAGAGAACCATGGGTAGGAATTTGGGGGCTCTGAGCTGTACTTTGCATTCTGACACTAAATGGATGATCTTCCCTAATTCATGTATCTCTTCAGTGAAGGACTGAGACTGGATAGGATAATCTCTAAATTCCTGCCACATTTCAAACATGCTATTCTATTAATATCATTAACAAGCCTTAGAGAATTCCTGAGGGCCCAGCACCAATGCAGGACACTTGTCGAAGCTGCACTCTGGCCTACATGAGAGGCCAACCCCTTCCCTATGCCTGCACCTGTTCTTTGCCCAAACATGGCATTTCTCAACTTAATCTCCTGCATTCTGTTCCTACCAATTATGGCTCTTTCTAAAAATTCAAAACTGCTCCCAGCAACAGAATTTTTCCACCACAGGAAACATTGAAAGGCTCTCTAAGTGGACGTTGATTCCAATAGAAAGAGCAGCTGCTGTGTGATTCGTCAGGTCAATTCAGTCTTTGCACTGGCTCCTTTCTTTTGTCCAGAATTGATGATCATACTCACCTTGCAGTGCTTTCGTGAGAATTAAATACAATAATCCTTGGCCAGCACTTAACACGGTATTCAGTACTTGTCATATTATAATAGGAAGAGAACAGGTAAAAAATTTCATCGCATAACAATGAAGTAAAGGAATAAGAACGCACATTGGAGCCACAGCAAGCAAAGTTCTATGTATGTAACCAACCTCCTATCTCAGCCCCCAGAGTGCCACTCACTTGCTGATATTAGCCTGAAAGCTTCAGATTTAAAAACAGGACTTGTTGAGGGGAGAAGAGGTGGCTGAGCAGTTGAGAGCACTGGCTGCTCTTCCAGGGGCTCAGGTTCAATTCCTGGCACCTTCACAGCCCCTCAAAAGGGTGTAATTCTAGTGCCAAAGGATCTAATGCTCTTTGCTGCCCTCTGCAGGCAACAAGTACACATGAGGTACACAAGCAAAACCCTCATACACACAAATTATAAAATAAAAGTTTTTTAAAAAAAAAAAAAACAGACTTGCAAGTTCTCCATCTCTCTTCTGGTTCTCACTCCTCCTCTCTCCGTCCCCCACTTTTTTTTCCAATCCCCTCCCCCGCCATACAAACACTAGGTGGAGGATGGGAAATGGAAGAGAGCACACTGAGTGAGGGGGATGGGATTTCAACAGGCATGCTCACTTGGAGATGGGCTAGCAGGCCGGCTTCCAAAGCTGTCCCAGGAAATTGTGGTTGCAGTTCAAAAGATGGTAAATTAAAGGCAGGGACAATGGCCACTGCTATAGCTCAGCCGCACAAATCAGGATCCTGGGAGAGTGTTTGTCTTTCTGTTCCCATTACCTGGAAAGGCTTCTGCATTTGAGGAGCCTGGTCCGCTGGCATGTGGCCCCAGGCTGCTCCTCCTGTGAGAGGCCACTGAAGCCAGGACTCTCAAGCAAACAGTCACTATAGTGAGAGTGTCTTTCCCAGCAAGCAAGGTCTCCAGGGACGGATAACCATAAAAGCACTGCCCTGTTCCCAGCCATGTTTATGTTGGCCTGACAGTGGAGGGCACTCATTTAGGTAGCCAGTCCCCTTGAGAGCCATAACACAAGTTTGCCTTAGGACAGAGAAACTCGCATCCTTCCGTGATTTTATGTAATCCCCATCTCTGAGTTGTATCATTTATCCTAGACAGGCTTGACTAGAAATGAGTGAAAATAATGTGTTTCTTACTGGGAATAGAATTCCCTGGGTTATTTTTAGTGTTGTGGGAGGAGAGGTTTTACACATAACATACAAGCTTCCTATCACATATCTGGAATTATTTCTGACAATATCACCAATTCTTACAGCTTGTGCATAGTTCATAC